GAAAAAGTACAAAGAAAACAAAAAACATAAACAGTAGTCCTAATCCCAGTGTGATGACACACTTAAGGCTATAGTACGCTCCTATACGATCACAGACACACACTTGGAATGTGTTTGCCTCTTAACTAATTATCTGGTTTTGAGGTTTTGGTGGGTGGAGATTATCAATCCTGAACATCTGTTAGTGGATGGCCAGCAGCATGTCTGAGCCTCTGTGTCTGCCCATCTAATTTACCCGTGTTAATCAATCCTTTACCAAAAAGAAAAGTATTTTTTACTTCTTCAGACATTTCTCACTGATATCCTTATTTTATTGAACACATCGTCAAATTGACCGCTTGTTGGATAATTAATATTGTGCTGGCCAGGATGGAAATTGAGAATATTTTTGAAGCTCTTTGTAGCTTTAAAATAAGTAGTTGAAAATTATTCTACATTTATTTTGATAATTTTTTCATAAAAGGCAAATATGATCTTCCTCCAGCTTCTCAGTTGTGAGGATCTACTACTTTGTCTTATCTGATAAAAAATATATATAGGTAAATTGATATCCTGTGGTTTTAGGTTCCACAAAACCCTGACATTTGACAGACATTTTACAATATTTTCTAACATTTAATAGACCAAATTAGCCCTAAGATAAATAAAAAAAATAATGTTTAGAATTATATCAAAAAAGGAATGAAAATACTGATTATAAAATCCTTGTGCATTGATGAAACATATCAGAGTTTAAACAGCAAGGAGTGGTGTGTTTACTATGTGTTTGTTTATGGATGGATAAATATGTTTTGTGCACGTGACTTGGCAAATGAGCAATTATAAATACAGTCAGTATTTTGAAAGATAATCAGGCTTATGGGAGCAGAGTTTGGGGCGTGCTCTCTCCTTTTATCATGAGCCATAATAGATTTGAATGAAATTGTCTAGTAAAGCAACTAGAGCATGTTTTCCACATTTTCCTCTGCTTGATAAGTCCTCTTCTTTTCATTTATCTGAAGACGTGCTGCCTTTGTTTAACAATAAATGTTAGTTTAAACGCTAATTCCACTTGTACTGCTGTCGGCCAAAGGTGGTTAAAGAGGGCAGTAGCTGGCAGATGGCACAGATTTCCACCATGAAGCCCTTCAAAGTGCCTCACAAACTGAAAATACTGGGCCCTTGTTCTGTGTCTTTTATCAGTGGCCGCAGCAGTGAATCAACCCCCACTCTGCCCCAGGCTCTCTGGCAGACTGTCCAAATTGAGGGCTCCAGGTGGGGTCCCATATGGCATGATTACAGACCAGTACGTCACCTTGTCGGAGGACCACAATGTTTCAATAAAAGGTCAAAACATGTGAAGGTCACCGTGGTGTCCGATCAGACTCTCACATGTCGTATCAAAACTAGACATTGACACAGCACACATATTGACACTGTAAACACATGTCTACGCCAGACACATACATCACAGAAAACGTACATGATATTCAAATAATTGTTCACTAATGTAAACAGGAGAGGTGGGATCTCAACCAACTGTCATTTATATATTTCACCAACAGTATGTAATAAAGTAAACATCATTTGAAAAGTCACGAGTCAGTCAGTTGCCAAACATCTACGCAAACTCTGTCAGTATTTTAATTTGAAGAAGACAGCTGACCTTTTATGTTAGAAGTGAATACGTTTTTTGATTATATGACCAGGATAGATTCATACATTTCAAATATGAAACAATACAGGGGTTTTTATGTATATGCAAAATCTAACTCTGACGTCTTCATCAGAACTTGAATTAAATATGACTCAAAGTCATACATTCACTAAATGCTGTGATACAAATTTCCATCATAAAAAGTAATTTTAGTAATCATTGTTGGTTCAACTGATTTTTTTGTATTTGGCTCTTCTATCCCCATTTCAATCATTATTTGCGTCTTGTTGGACTACAACCAGCTTGTCTACCCGCCTTCGTGTGTAGAGCTTGGAAAAGAAAAACACTTTTTCCCTTAGATGCTGTCACACTGACAGATAAACTAGTTGGCCCATAAGGATCAGTTTCATATGTGTCAATCTTTTCCTCACTCAAGAGTTTAGTTGAACAACTGGTAAATCTGCATAACATCAGCGTATTCCTTAAAATGTATCCAATGACATTTCATCTTAAAGCACAATATACCATCCTGCGATGTAATCCATCAGCACAAAGGCTAGAATTTGATATCCGTGAAAGAAGCAGTGGTCTAGCAGAACCCTGGGACCCAGGTGAAGCTGGTGGGACTGGCCTTGTGGCCTCGTGGCCCCCTGTGGCCCCGCTGGGTTTGTTTTAGCTTTAGTTTCAACCCTCGGCCCTCCACATCTCTGCTGAGCTCCGCTCATCTTCCCTCCGGTGTCCTGCAGTTCCCATGGCCTTGTGCGCCCTCCTCCCAGGCCTCACCCTGAACCAGGAAGTGCCTCCCCTATCACACACAGTGTGGGTGTTTGTGTGCACGTGCATGTGTGTGCATATAGGACTGTTGCAGGGATGCAGCTGAAGTCAAAAGGACTCTGAACAGGCGTCACTTTTACTTTTGATCCCTGGAAAGTTTTAGGAAATGCTAAGCACAACAGCACTTTCCTTATTTTCCCTCTGTGCTGCGGGATCATAGTTACTCTCTGGAGCTTCACACTACGCCTGTGATGAAGGTCAGATCAGGACCCCTGATGGCTGCAAGGTCATAAGGGGCATTTCAAATGGAAATAGATAGAAAAATAATGATGAACCTAATGCATGGTTCAAATTAAAAGTACAGTTTTGTTGACGCAAGATAAAAACCTAAGCGTTGCTTAGTTGAAAGATTTACTGTAGGCTTTCTTCATATAAATGAAATTCAATTAGAAATATCAAACATTTGCTATTTATTTGTAATAATAACAAGCCTTTACCGACATGACAAAGTGTAAATAGACTCCTTTGTTACACATTTACAATCTGTTTTATTTATGTTTATTCTACTATCATAACACAGATGTGCAGGTGGATTCTTCAGTCTTTGTAGCTGCTTCACGGTTGTAAGACATTTATTTACTCAGAAAACATTCTGAGGTGTTTGAAAAGCCGGGAGGGCGGTTCCATCAGATGGAGCTGACACAACATGAGGTGTGTTTTCTCTAGTATTCTGTCAAAAAGGCTTTTGTTAGTGACATGAGAACAACACAAACGATACTGTAAGATGTTTCGTAATGTCAGTAAAGCTTATTTTTATTGGCAGACTGTCACAATTCCTGTGACTTTTCTTAGCTTGTTCTTTTTTTTCTCATCTTCTCTGCTGCAGTAAAACCCTGCTGCCCCTATACTTCATGACTGTCATCTGTCTCTGTCTTTGTGTTGTCAGCGAGGTCAGAGGTCGGGCAGTTAGCTGCAGCTTTGCCAGATTGGAATGGCCCAGAGGCAGAAACAGAAAGAGGCAGAAAGAGAAAAGGGAGAGAGAGTAGACAAATAAATGGAAAAGCGAGTTGTGCATGTGAGATTTGAAGGACTCTCACCTCAGTGAGCGTTATAATCAAATGAAAGGGATATGAATTTTACCAATGTAAATAAAAATGATCGCTGTATAGCATGATACAGGGTTGACATTGAATATGTTGCAGTGAGCATGGTGATACATTGCTGGATGGATTTTATATATCTTTTTAATCAAATTCTAAGACAACTTACTTTTAGGACACAAAACCAATAATGATCAAGTATAGAAAGTTAGTTTTTCATGCAATCAGAACAATGTAATCTACGTTGTATCACAGTCCCTATAACACCAAATAACATTTTGTGCAATCTGAGGAAAGTAATTAACATTTGACTATATATTACAAATAAAATATCACACATAAAATGAAGATACTTTTGTAAATCAAACATTTTCTAGACCTTGATCAAACATAGAAGGAATCATTTGACCTTGTTTTGAATCTATTTGCATCGACATGCTGCTGCACCAGACTCTGCTCTTCTGGAAAAGCTCTCCACGTGGTTTTGGAATCTGGCTGCATGGATTTTCTCCCTCCTTCACCCTGACTGATGTTTGGTGATAAGGCCCGTCTCGCAGTCAGTGTTGCAAATAATCCCAAAGGTGTTGGACGATGTAGAGATCATTGCTCTGTGCCAGGCCTGTCAAAATCTGCCATGGCAAAAGTACTGTGTGTGAATCTGTTTGTGCAAGTTGAAACAGGAGAGGGCCTGCCCCAAACACAATTAAGATTTACCTCTGTATTCAATAATAGAGACCAACATAAAATGTGCAAACAGTATTGCTCACATACTGTTGTCCCTATTGTGTTAGTAGATGACGGTTTTACCGAATCGTTTCCATTACAACCCACCATCCATCGTGCTCCATGACTGGTACCTTGAATGATTTAGCTTTAGCATCTGCTGTCAAACAGTCCCATTCAGCTTCCTGCTCAGACTCATTCATGTGGCTTTGACCTTTTGACCTCCAGCTTACTGAGCCGAGACCTTCCCTTCCTTCACTTCCTTCACTTCTTTTCACCCTTTTCTTTCTTACTCTCTATTATCATTTAATACTTCTGTCAACAGACACATAGAGAGAAACAGACAAAAGCCTCAGAAGACAGGACTGCAAAAATGTCTCATCTTGTCAAAGCTCTGTTGTCTCATCTTATCACCAAACATGAAACATTTCAAATCCTCGTTCCTCTTGATAGCCAAACACAAAATGCATGACACAGGTGCCAAACAGCAAGATGACTCAGCGTTTTTCTAACATTTTCCCTAAGCATAATCGTACCTGTTCAGCATTTAACTGTCAGAGTCGCTAATGATCGTACTCTTCACATCAAGACCGCATTCACCTTCTCTGTCTATCCTTGAAAAGTATTCACCTCTTGAACTGTGTTTGGAGAACACACCTGCCCCTCCCCCCCTCATCCTGCTGCAGCGGGGCCCGAGGCACGTCGCCATGTGTCAGTCACCTGCATACCTGTGTCCTGATGATGTGCGTTTGCTATTGTTTCCACAGGAGAGTTGACGGCTCGAGAGGAACCTGACTAACAGCGGTGTGACGGGATAAAGACGATAAAGCTCTCTCTATAGTTCAGGTGAGAGGGCAAAACTACAAAGAAAAGAAAGAGTAAAGTGCTTCAGATGAAAGGTGGCTGCTCCCTGCAGTCACTGCAATCCTCAAGTCGGCCTTTTAACTCAAAGAATAGTTTTATATTCATTATATATAGCTTAAAATAAAACCTAATAACGTAACTGGTCATCATTTTTGGTAGTGAGGAGACCGCTTATTAGTTAGTTTGTTTTTTGTGATTGAAATCAACCCTGATTTTAGGGGTAATTATATAAACAAAATGTGTATTAATGTTGTCTTTTTGTGTAATTGTATAACATTTGTTGGTGTTGGATGGTATCCTGCATTACACTGTGTTTTTCTACTTTTAAAAAGGATATTAGGGAGTAATGCTGATGGTACATTTGTCATTTATGTGAGGATATGTGAGAAACACCAAATTACATCTCAGTAATTAATGTCTTATCTTATTTAAATGTATTTTTCAATTTCCTTACTGTTTTAATTGTTAACTTTCTGACATTGCATGTTTTGTCTCATTCACAGGGCTTTTTCTATTGACTACATACTCATCGTACCCACTGCAGGTGAGTTTTTCATGACATTCTTCACTGAGGTTGAAAGTGGAATTTAATGACTTCTTTGTCACATGTTGTGCTGTGTGTCTTCCGGTAGCCGCCACATAATTGTTACTAAGCGTTAAACTCTGTGACGCTCATTATAAACTAATGATCTGAACTTTATTTCCTTATTATTAGTCTTTTCATATTTGTTTTTAGTGCTAAAAGTTGCAAAAAAAGGTGCATCTATTCAGATTTGACCAGTATACAGTATGAACCCCACCACGGTACTGTTTGTGTCAATAATTCCTTTGTTGTGAAAGAAAGTGTTTGCATGTTTTTATATTTTCAATGAGCTTCCTCGTCCTCTAACGGTGACAAAAACAGATGTTCTGTTGTAACAGATAATGAGAACCAAACGTTTCCTCATTATTCCTTGCTTCTTTAAAACCAGCTAACGGGGAGAGGTGTGATGGCTGCGTACGGACAGACTCAGTACAGCCCCGCCCTGCAGCCTGCGGGGCCGTACGCACCCTACACTCACCACACACAGGGCTACAGCATGCCCTCCTACAGTGAGTACACACAACCATACAGTGATGTGGATGCATTCAATGTTTTGACAAAGCATCAGATTCTGCAAGTTATATCTGTTTCTATCTGTTTATTTCTTTAAAGCGCTCACTTTTATAAAACTGTATTTCCCTTTTTCATCTGCAACATAGCAACTTTGCAATACATACAGTGCCAAACACAAAATACAGAAGTGTGCATGTTTTCCAATGTTTACACCCAATCCTCCCCCCTGTATAGAACGAAACAACAGCACTAGCACAAAAACATTTAAAATAATAAACAAACAAAAGAAAATGTTGAAATTTCACATTAAATTAATAAAGATAAAACAATGCTAATTGATAATAGTGCACATATACTGTAGTGCACATATAGTCACATACAAATGGTTGAGGTACAAGTTATGTTACAATTGTCTATAGCAAAAATCAGTTAAAGGTATGGTAGGTAATTCACTTCAGAAACACTGTTTGTTATATTCCATGGAATGCTCTTAACATCCCGATAGCAATGAATACATTAAACGCTTTGACAATAAATATATTTAAAAAAAGAAGTCATCTGTGGAAGCCGTCGCGCTGTAAAAAGCACGAACAATTATTTTAGCCGGCCCGGCTAAAATAATTGGATGGCCTACCTGCCTGTCAGCCTTCCATCTGTGCACAAACTTATCTCGTGCCCCCATTGGGCATGTGTGCGTTTGTGTGTGTTGTACTTATTGTAAGTCGCTTTGGATAAAAGCGTCAGCTAAATGTAATGTAATGTAATGTTGGAGGAGGGGCTCTGTTCGGCTGCGTAGTTTCAAATTCTAGCGCACTCGAGCTGGTTTCTCCATTCTTACCTACCCTACCTTTAACGAAGAGTTCACAGTTTTTGCGTTTTCATGTATGGAGACAACAAGACACAATAACAATATTACACATGCTGTAGGAAAACTTCAACATTAAACTGGGAACTCATTTGGGGGAAACAAGGCAGACAGTTATGTAATGAATACAAGAAACCACAATATTGTGTTACCAAGATAGATTGTTATACATGTGTATGTGTTATTTGATCCTCAGTGGTGAGACAGACTTGGTTAACATTAATCTGCATGTTGGCTAATCTTTTATGTAACCTAGGAAATGAATCTTATGCTCATTCGATGGCATCTCTTTGTCCGTAGACATTAAAACAGAAGAAGGCCTGAGTCACTCTCCAGGTCAGACAGGAATTCTGGGATACTCAAACTTCAGCAGCACTCCTCCCGGTCAGAGCCTCTACAGCTACTCACACGGTAAGTCTGAAATACTGTGTGTATTTAATGTATGGACACGCTAACACACACACACACACACACACACACACACACACACACACACACACACACACACACACACACACACACACACACACACACACACACCTTATATACACCATCTTTGATTTCAAACTTAATAGAAGGAGCATCCATCCTGGTGCTGCCTTCCTCAGCTCTATACTCCTCCTCTTCTCTCTCTTCACTTTTTCTCTTTCCCTCTCCTTCTCTGTGCCACACCTGTTCTCCATTAGCTGCGGTCTGGACTCCTGGCGTCAAAAGTCTCCCCACCCCTCCTCTTTTCTCGGGGTCAGGCCCCCTTTCTCCACTCAGACCAACAACACAGCATGCCAGCGCTTGTGTCTGTAAGAGAGAAAGAGACAGTGAGAAAACATGTAGACGGAGGATGGGAGAACAGAGAAAAATAGAGGGAACAAAGAGGTGGGCAGAGGGTCTTTGTCGAAAAACAACAACTCAAAAGGAAGTGTGATCAGCTCTCTGCCCACACATGGCCTTGTGTCAGTGTGTTTTTGTGAGTGTGTGTATCTCCTCTGTACACATTCCTCAGTCGTCCGGCGCCCAAAGCATGACTCGTTCAGTGCGACTTTATGGCTTTGAAAGCAGCGTGAAATTGACCTTGTGTGTGAGAGGGGAGAGGTTAAGGTGAATTATACGGAGGGGTGAGGAGGTTTAATGTTGCAGACGGGGGGGCGGCCCTGCTTCACTGTACGGATGAGACAAAGAGAAGAGAAACAGGATCAAACCGTAAACAGATTAGGTTTGATGCTACATGCTTTATATCCCTCATGCTCAAATAAGTGGAATATGAGCCAATGTCTTTATTATAATGGCCCTGGCATTCAAACACAATCTGAAAGCATGTTCCATCTTTTGGTTATTTTTGTAGTTTTACATAGGTTTTTGATGGGTTATCATTAGAGATTGTACTTGACAAGTTAATTACAGAATCCTGACAGTACAATGCTAAAACAAGTCTGACAAGTAAGGAAACATGAAGGAGAATGAGACAGGTTTTCAGAAAGCCAACAATTTATCCAAATCTAGCTAAACTACTAAACCGCTTTGCTCAAAAATGTCTAATTTCTCAGGATAACTGTATGTACTAATAGAGCTGGTATTTTAGGTCAATGTCGTACATAGACTACAATAGGTTAGCCACACTTATTTGGAAAAGAAAAAAACATTCATCACAGTTTATAGACTGATTTTGTGATCAAACTCCAGTCTGCCATTCTTGCTTTGAATGTTGTCTCACATTTTCTGCAAAATCAGGGATCATTGCCAGAAACTACAATGTTCTCACTTGCAGTTTTACCTCCAAATAAAGTAGATAAGATGACCCAAAGTGTGTGTAGTTTGCTTGTAGTTTTTGCCCTGTTGGACTTCATGTTAGTGATTTCATGTCTCAGTGTTCCAGACCTCAGATCTCCCAACAGCTCAAGGCCAAAAATACAAAAATAAGACTCAAGTTGTACAATGGAAAATCTGTATTGTTAAGCCTATCTTGCGTCATACAGAGTTGATATAGTTATTTGGGAAGGGATGAAAAACACCGGTAACAATTGGAGGGGGAAATTGTAACTGTTTTTTCTGTTGCCTGTGTTTTCAGCCCTTCCCAAATAACTACATTTTTCCACATCGCTTCCTCTATTCAGATGTCCAACATTATATGGGAATGTAAATATTCCTGTAAACACAAACGATATAACATCTTACAAACTACGAGGACCTCGATGCTCTGTTAGAGCCCAACTGTAGGACAAAACATGTTTTTTCTCAGAGAGAGTAGTTTGAGTTTGTAAGACACGGTTCCCAAACAAAATACATTTGTTTGAATATTTGTAAGCATAAATCATTAACTACAAACTTCAAACGGTAATAAACTGCCACAACAACCCGATGTTTGTAGGATTTCAGAATGTTTCCATGTCGTCCATTATACTGTACACAATGCTTGAGCATGCACACGCAGACACACACAAACACACCACAAAAATACATCCAAACACACAGTTGTATTGCATGTTCAACTGAAACCAAATGGGGACTATGGGAGCTTTTTTTGTGTTTACTCCAGAGACCTCCTGGATTTTTCCTTCAGACGCTTTGAAGATTGTTGTCCAGGGAGGTTTCAGTGTGGTTCTTCCATTGAGTCATTTGTCTCCTGTTTGTCATGCACTGTGGAATGGAGAAAAATAAATGGGGAGCAGCATGAAGCTTTAGACTGACGCAATAATGGAAAGTAGAATTGAGTAAGGGAGTCTTTACAAATATCCTGGTTCAGGTCATGTCGGGGAAGAGGAGAGTACATCTTCATTATCGCCACAGGGAAGCTTGTCGCACAGTTCAACAGTCAAAACAAAACCCTTCACAGAAACTAATACTAAATCAACTTTCAACCTGTAATTAAACTACTTTGAATAATTTCCTACTGTACAAACCAAGCAACTATTTACAAAGGTTCATTGTCATGTTTTCTTTTTGGTTCCAAGGAACATTTTATTGCAATGCACACACAAATGTACACAAGTAACTGTCAAGCTATGTCTTGTCAATAAAAGGCCCTGGCTTCCACCCAGCACACGACTCGAGCCAGAACAATGCTGCCAGTTTGTTCACCTGACCTAACCTGTTAACCTTACCTACACGACTCTTTATCGGGAACAAAGAGAAGATGGCAGGTGCTGCGAAAAGTTGTTACTAATCTATCTAAAAATCTCAATCAATGTAATGGATATGCAGATATTCATGGTTGCTAGTGGTTTCATATACTTCTAGCACCAATATGAGATTGAAATTGTGAGGTCTTGAGTGAAATGTGAACTGTTGGACGGATTGCCATGACGTTTAGTGTTCCCCTCAGGATGAATTTTAATTACTTTGGTGATTCTTTCACTTAGCATTTAGTGCCATCATCAGTTTAACACTTTGTGAATGTTATTACTGAGCCAAACACCCAAACTAGGAGGGTAAATATGGTAAGAATGGAATACAAATTAGATATGCTGCATCGGCCCTAGGTGGAGGTAATATAATTGGAGTACATCAGGAAAGACCTCTGCCAAGGCCAATGGTGCATTCAAATGTTCCCTCAGATCGTCTAATTTCCCCTTCTGGGAACTGTTCATAAGCTGTAAATTGTAAGGAACATAGATTCTACAAAACATATGTGTTAGGGTGCCTAACCCTAAACCCTCAAGTATTTATTTTGAGAAAACTGAAAGTAATTTCTGTATCTGCCTTTTGTTTCGGATATGCTCCACAGTGTAATCTGTTTTTTCTTGGCCTATTTTTTCACCCTTCTACCATGAAGATCCTGCCAGTACTTTTTCGGCAATCAATCCTGCTCAAAGGCAAACAGACAAACCTAGAACATAACCTGCCTGGCTGAGGTCATACTAATTATTCAGACAAACAAACAACATGGACAGACTTGATAGAAGGATGCAGGGTGAGGCAGCGTCACTGTTGGAGGAAATCGCTTGGAGGAAGACATTCCTGCCTTGGCCTGATTATACTGAGAAGATTCCCAGAGCAGCAGCAGCAGCACACTTTCCCACCTGTATTGTTATGCCAAACATAAATCTGACTCCCGGCTCCTGCAGCTCTGAGCTGTCACTGAGGAAGGAGTTTACTGCTCCTGACTTTCTTCACACAGATACTCACGGATCAGATCGTATATTGTGGCATTACATCAGAGGAGGATTCATTGATACAAGATGTAACGCAGTCAAATCTCTCACCAGTTTGTAATTGTTCTCCATCCTGCATGATGAATTATTTCCTGAAAGTCTGAACTTTTGCCATCACATCGTTTCTCAGGTGGTGGTATTTCATCTGGAATTTTTCAAGGCACCCATGCAATCTCGAGTTCAACCCCATTCAACTCTACACAACAAGTGAGTAATGTAACTTCGACAGGATGTTTTACTGCCAAGACATCTGAAGATCCTGAAAACATACATCTTAAACTCTAGCAGTCCTGACAAATAACTTAATTTAGCAACTGTCATGACTGTCATATGTATTAATCATGATGACGACTGTTTGATTGTAGGACGTTTCATTTTGGAATGATAAATGACTCTGACTAATTAAAGTAAATGTTTACGTTTCGACAGGAGTTTTCAGCGTACTCAAGCTACAGTCAGAGTCAGTACTCGCCGTATTATAACTCTCATCACTACAACAGCCCCTACATAACCAGCAGCAACATCAGCCCCACTGCCATCACAGCTCCAGTAGCCTATCAGCATCCAGAACACCCCGTCATGCTGCCCAATCACAGCCCAGAGTCGCACACAGGTAAGGAGGGACAAAGCATGTTATTTCAAATTGACTTATAATACCACATGTACCATGCCTTACTCTGAACAAAAAGCACATATAACATGGACTGTACTGTACCAAGTTTGATATATTTGCTTGATTTTATGAATAAAAGTAATTAAAAAAAGGTATTTTCAAACTTGTGTTACATTTTATTTTGCTGTTACAATAAGATAATGTAAACTAGGAGCCCTTTTAAAAAGAAGCAAAGTCATTTATGTTCTGTAGGTTAAGTTGGTTTAAGAAACATATATTTTTTTAAATGTCATATCCTAATTGTATACCCTGCTCTGGATCCAAACACCTTTGGTCCAACACATCCCATAAAGTATTCTCTGTGCTCGGGGCTTAACAGGTTAAAAGAGCGCCCCATCAACACGCTCTTGAGTTAATAAATCAAACTCTAAATCTCGGAGAAGGTTGTTTTATAGAGATGGTTTTATGTGTGTGTGTGTTCTAGGCGAGTACCACCCGCCGCCAAGCCCCCCCACACCAGGTAAAGAGGAGGGGGTCCCAGCAAGGAGGGGGTCGGATGGGAAGTTGAGAGGGAGGAAAAGAGTCAGTGACCCCGCACCACCTCTGGACTCTGACATTGAGGTAAACACACTCTCACACTGTGTTGAAAATTATCAGCATTTCTCTACAATATTTATCTTTCTCTCCCTCACACACACACACTCGTGAGGTTAACATTACATATCTGTTATTTCTCTGCAGCGCGTGTTTATCTGGGACCTGGATGAAACCATCATCATTTTCCATTCGCTCCTCACGGGAACCTTCTCCTCACGTTTCGGAAAGGTACGAATATAAGACCCCTCCCTTTGTTATTTACTAGCTCACACTTTGAAAACAGTTCTGATACGGTAGATAGGCACAGTTTGGCATAAAACCCTTGCATCAACAAACTAACCCTTGTCGTCATAAAATCACCCTTTGTATCTCAGCGCTGGAGTGCTTATTTGACTAACAGCCGAGTCCACAACCTTTGGGTCTCATCGCTGAGCATTTTCACATGCTGGCTGTTTTGCCTCTCTGCCCTCTTGTTTCTTTTCATAATGCACCGGGGCTGTTTAGCTACCCGAGCATCCCGCGGCGTGATTGACAGCCGGTGGGACCTTTACATAACAGACAGGCAGCTGACAAGGGGCGGACCGTGGTGCGTTTCTTGGTTTTGGCCGGGGACGCGTGTTTTGAATTCTCACGGTCCCCCTGCGGGTTGACACAGGGCTGATGGGAGTTTGAGGAAGCAGCGTTTTCTGATCGGCTCAGCCCCTGGGCAGGCCATGCATGCTGTTGTTTCTTTTTCTTTCTGTTTCTGCCACAGAGGAGGAGGTGTGGGGGGGGGCGTGGGGAAGCGGAAAGAAACACAGGAGAGAGTGAGAGAAAAAGTGGATGTGTGGAAATGTGACTCATGTGCCAAACATTCCTGATTCCTCCCACCACCACCCGAACGCCCCGCTGCTGGAGCTCAGCTGGACGGACTCTGACATCAAAAGTCAGAGGAACTGAATGAGTGACAGCGGAAAAACAGATTAACAATCCAAAGCATTAAGACGGCTTACAAGCTAGCGACGCTTTGCCCTTCTTTTTTCTTCCTCTTACATATTCTGCTAACTACTCCGACAGCCATAATGCTTTTTTTCTGGCATAAGTTATCTTCACTTTATGCCCTGCTTTCTTTCTACTTTTAACAGCCCAGGCTCTTTCCATTAGGGTCAGCCTATTAAACTCTTATCATGAACAAATGTTTTGGACCTTTAAGTCAGGGCGAATCTGGGCCCGGCGTGCAGGAAAGACTAATGGCTGTGTTGAAAGACAGTTGTTTTCATCAGCTCCGTGAGCCAGAGGTGAATGAGGAGCTGATTCCTTCCCTTGCTCCTCCATTATCTCATCTGTCATACAGCTCCCATCAATTCACTCTAGTGTGTTTAATACATGAGTAAAGGTGGGAACTCGGGTGGTTTTAGTCTTTTCCTTCCTTCTCTTTTTTCTTTTCTTTCCTGGGATTATCAGAAATAGGCTTTATTTGTCCCTCTAAAAAGACCAGCCCTTGATTTTTTTAATGGGAGTGATTATAAATAATTATTTCAATTATTAGACAAGAAGAACAATCCTCTCTTAAGCCTTTAACTCCGCCTTCTTTATCCTTTCAATTCATGTCTTGCTCTTCAGTCCAGTGTTTCTTAATCCCTCCTCTTCATAATGTTCTCCTTTAGACCTCCTACTCCTCCTACTGAACTTTTCCCGCCCTTCGTCCTCATTACCTTTTTTCTCTTTACACCTTTTTTTGGAAGGTGGGGTATTTTGTAATCATCGTGATTAATCCTGCTTTTGTTATCAAACCCTTTTTTACCATTTCGAGCCAGAAGACGCCTCTGCTTGTCATTTAGAGATGCATTCATCTAAAATGTTCACCTTTGGCTGACAGCCCGGCCTGTGCTTCTCCTGTCTGTCTGCCAAAGACAAGCCAACGCTGCCATCAAAAAACACACAGCACACATTCATACACACACCTGCTTTTGTAGTCCTCAACAACAACACGCCCAAGCTGTTTGTCAGCCTCACTGCCCGCACATTATGATTTATGTGTTTCTCCGGGTCATGATATATAGTTTGCTTATTAGGAAACAAACTGAATTTGGTGTAATGCAACACCTGCATAGTTTTTAGGGTTTTTTCCAAAGCGAGAGAAAACATGAGGAGAGATGCAGGGAGGTGTGAGGGTGTCCTGTGTCCTCTGTACACAATTTCACTCAAGTTAAAATAAAAAATCATTGACATCAAAATCCTCCAAAAATAAAAGTACTTATTGTGGGTATAGCCCATTTCAGAATCATATTAAATATTACAATATATTAAATACTGGATTATGATGCATAAGTGTGTCTATCAAATCTAGTTTAGTTGAAGTGTGTTTTATTTCCTTTGAATGCTCCTAATCTGTAAAGTAACTACGGTAGTAGTGCTAGTATTAATGTACTGTTCTCGTTTCAACGTATGGATATTGAACTTAAAGAGCATCTTGCAGGTTTTTTTTTTTTCTACATTTATGCTTAAACTTGCTTGAAAATTAAAATTAAAAAAGTGAATGTAGGATTTGATATGTTTTACGAGACATAAGGGCAGGAATTCAGAGGGAAAGGAGCAATTTTGAGCTCTGCTACTAAAAACTACTTTTTTTTTACGTCATACGTCAAACGCGTCATATTACGTCACATGGGGGAGTTAACTTTCTCGGAATCGTTCTCTGCCCAATCCGCGGTAGTAGTTTGTAGTTGGTTTGAGCGGTTGTGATTTAGTGAGCTGGTATTTTTTCGGTAATTTTACATTGCATTTCACCATTTGCAATCATAGTGAGCTTGTGTTTGTGCAGGTTGCACAAACTCA